TAAGGCTAAACCAAGGTCGACGGTTGATGTGCTAGAAATGTTTGTTACCGTCGATCAAACTAGTATCAAACCCTTTCAAGAAAATGAAATAGAAGGCCAACACAATGTCATGCACGTTGATGATGATGAAGGTCAATCATTGATTGATCTTACTTGGAGCGTTATTAGAATTAGACGATGGTGAAATAGATATTCAAAATGAATCGGAGTTAGAAATCGATGTTGAATAAGACTTAGATGAAGAATGTGACAATGATGATAATGATACCGATTAGAGATAATATGGTATATCCCAGTAGATTATGTTATATTGTATTTTTTATTCAATTCATAAATTATGCACTTAGATTTTATGTAATTGCAGTTTGAATTTAAGGGTTTAGGCAACCTTGTCCTCCCGGGATGTTGGGATAGGCTAATTTAGTCCCCTCAAGTGTAATTTTTCAAACTATTTTAATAAATCTCCGAGGTATCATCCCTTTCGTCACGAAAAAAAGAAAAGATTAGGTTTATTGGTATGTTTACCTACATAGTTAACTTATACTTTTTAAAGGTAAGATTTAATTAAATAAATATTTTTGATTTATTATTGTTTAAATATAAATCAATTTTTTCATATTAATTTGAATGTTATATGTAAGTATATATGCATTATATAATTAATATTTTATTTAAAAACTATTGAATTTAATAATTAATATGTAGGTCATAATGACTCGAGGTAGGGGTCGTGGTTCGGATACCGATCGGTCCGACGGTGATCGTGGACGTAGAAACCCTTCTCGTTTTGCTCACGGTCGGATGGATCCCCCATTGGACATGCCTCCGTACCACTCTTCCGGTGGCCCCTTCACATCCCGTTCCATGCCCGACATGTCTCAACCTCAACCATTTCCGTATTATGAACCTCCACGTCAACCTCCCTCATCTTTTCCTTCGTCGTCGTCGGTGCCTTCATCATCACATCGGGATAACCGTTCCGTTCCTCAACACGTTCCACCCCACAATGTCCCGCCTCAATCGGCTTTGGAACCAATCACATTTACGGTTGACCATCGAGTACGGGTCATTGTCATTGGGCGCAATGAGACAATGAGTACGGTTTATGCTTAATTTAATGAAATATTTTTTTATTACCGTTATTATGTATTCGATTATTTATGAATTTAATTAATGTTTATTTTTTTATAGGTTGTATCCCTCCGATGTTTGCTCTCGCTCGATCGTTAAGACATTCCGGGAGTATGTTCATATTTCGGGATGGATGTGAAAGAAAATGAGTCCGGAGACAAAAGATTTTTACCGAGAAGAATTTAAGGTTCTAATTTCTAATTTTTTTTTGATTAATTATATTATTTAATAGTTAATTAAATAGCATAAAATAATATGAAAATAATTTTAGTAATGTTTATTATTATTTTTTTCTTTGCGTAAATCATTTAAGTGGGATGATGATTTGAATGACGAGCATAGTTAAGAAAGCATGAAAAAGTCTCGTACGGAAGCGATATTCGACTTCCTTTGTCGTCTAAGAAAAAACGGAAGCCGGCATATATCTCACAAGAAATATGGGATGCATGGACTACGAAATGGATGAAACCCGAGGTCGTTCCTCGATCCGAGATGGCGACACGAACCGTAGGAGCGAGATTGGTGTAGTTAGAGTCGGTCCTTTTAAACATACAAGGGGAGCAATCAATCATAGAGAGCATGCCATACGCATGGTAAAAAATATATATTAATTAATTTATTTATAATTTTTTATAAAATAATAACCAAAATAATTAATTAAACATTTGACTATATTTAATACATTTACGTTTATTTATATATGTTTTTAACGTAATGTGTTGGGTCGTGAACCCGATCCTTATGAGGTTTTCTTGAGGACTCATCGGAGAAAGGTTAATGATCGGTTAGTCTTCGTTGATCAACGATCGAGGGTTATCGGAGTAAGTGATAACTTTAAAACATTATTTAATATCCGTTAGTTAATAACGTTATTCGACATACGTATTTAATATGATGTGTTTCACAATTATACAGGAGAGCGTACAAAGATTAATTAATGAGGAAGAGGTTGCTAGCCGACTATCGGGAGGGACCGAAGCGATCGCACCCGACATTAATGACATCTTTCGGAGGGTCGTTGGTGGAGGAGATAGTAGGAGGAAGAGGACGTATGGACTCGGGTCACATGCATCTCACTATTATTCTACACTCAATACAAGCTCATCTTCTGCTACTTCCGGATTCAATGCAACTAATGAGGCACGATTGAAGGAATTATAGGAGCAAACATCTACAAACACGACACACATCAATAACTTAGAGGTACCGTTAACAACCTATAGGGCCAAGTGGCATCGTTGTTGGATACGAAAAATGAGTTGAGAACCTATAGTCGACAACGGTATATGATGATGTCATAGATGCGGTAGATGTTCATGTGGTATTTTGACCGTGGTGGTAGTTCATCCACCGTTCCCGAGACCGTCACGATGCAACGCAGCCTTCGGACGACTCCACCCGACCTCCGACCGATCCTAGACATTAATTTATTTTAGCTTTTTCGTTTTCTTGTATTAACCGCAATCGATATACTCGTTTTTTGTTATTTAACAATAATTTAATTATTTAGCGACATTTTAATACATTTCGAATAATAAAAATTTACGTTTAATTTTACGAGAATTTTGTTATTTTAAAATAGTTACTTTTACCTTATTTTATTAGAGCCGTAAAAAATATTACTTTTTTAATTTGCGACGAGTCTTAGAAATAGTCTAGATCGTCGCTAAAGAAGAAAATATTACAAACGGTCTAGACCGTCACTAAAGATAAATTTTAGCAACGGTCTAGACCGTCACTAATCCGTCGCTATTTAGCAACGGAGATACCAAGGGTTTAGCAGACCGTCATTAATTTCATAACTATTTACATCGACATTTAGCGACGGACAAGCAACGTTTTGATCGTTGATAATTTTGCAACGGTCAAAACCGTCGCTAAACAATACCGACGAGCTTTTTAATGACGGTGTAGTGACCGTCGCTAAATAGTCATAAAATCGTTTTCGGGACGGTTTTTTTTAATTTAGCGATGGTTTTGCCCGTCGCTAATTGGCCTTTATCTTGTAGTGATAAAACACCATTTTGTTTCAAATTCTTTATAATAACATTTAAAAACTAAATAATTTAAAATTTTTTGGTTGTGTTATATAATCATTACTTCCTATTGCAAACACCATATACGGATATTAATCAACAAGTTTTTAATGAATATTTATAGACTAATTGATTATATACAACAATTTTTTTTAATGAATATTTATAAACTAATTGATTATAAAGTATTCTGAACTATTGGTCAATAGGAAAAAAATATGATTTTTTTAAATTTTGATTTGGATTCCAAATATTTATTTAATAATTAAGTGTTTTTATTATGTTAACTAATTTCAACGACATAAAAGACATATAAAATTATTAAAATAATATATATTCTGAAATCCTAAAATATAAGATATGTATAGGATATGTATTGTGCTTTTATGCCTCCACACGTGCGTTTCATATGGCTTGAAATTGATTAACAGGACACAAGAACTTTTATATATATATATATATATATATATATATATATATATATATATATATATATATATATATATATAATTAAAGATTTTTTTAACCAATTAACCATATTCATACATAAGTTTTTGGAATGTGGGAATTAGTAACTTGCTTCTTTTGTAGAAGAGATAATTCCTTGAGAAAGTTGTGGATTTGGTTAAGCCGGGAGAAGATAAAACTAATTGATTATAAAGTATTCTAAACTATTGGTCAACAAGAAAAAAATATGATCTTTTTAAATTTTGACTTGGATTCCAAATATTTATTTAATATTTTTATTATGTTAACTAATTTCAACGACATAAAAGACATATAAAATTATTAAAATAATATATCTTTTGAAATCCTAAAATACAAGATATGTATAGGATATGTATTGTGGTTTTATGCCTCCACACGTGCATTCCATATGGCTTGAAATTGATTAACATGACACAGGAACTTAATTATATATATATATATATATATATATATATATATAAAGATTTTTTTAACCAATTAACCATATCCATACATAAGTTTGTGGAATGTGGGAATTAGTACCTTGCTTCTTTTGTAGAAGAGATAATTCCTTGAGAAAGTTGTGGATTTGGTTAAGCTGGGAGAAGATAAAACTATCTTATCAATCAACCACAAACATTAATCGCTGCTTCAACTCCTCTCTATGATATTTTGGTGGTCTCAATCTATATCTCTACAAGAAACAAAAGCAACTAAACTTTACCTTCTCTTTCTTGCATTATTATTCAACTGTTTGGTTCATTGCATGCCGTATGCAGGAAACGAACATGACTAGCTGGTCCAATGACATGCTGAAAGAAGATTTAGTATTGTTTTTTGTGGGGAAAAAGCCATGAGGTGGGACTCATCACCTGAAAAAGTAGACAGAAGATTGATGACTACTTTTATGGAAAAAGCAATTGAGGTTGCTAATTTGACAACTTTATCATTCGAGGACAAAGCTGCATGAAAACGTTGAAGACAAGGTTGCTGGTGCAATTTATGAGTAGCTTTCAAATCCTGAATTTTAGTTTATTTACTCCATGGTCTTTACTTGCATCGAGGCCTTAATATTAGTTTATTTACTTTCTTGGTACCTGCAGTAGCGTTCAAATTTAAGCTGTCTACTTCAGTTAGAGGGTCATAATATTTTGTGTTGAGTATCTACGTCTGTACCAAACAATTTCAGAGCAGAAACAATCACCAAAGCATATCTTCTAATTTGCGGCTGAATGATTATAACCAATGAGAGAGTACGAAATCCCCCGGCTATATGAGCTAATGACACCTTCTTTTTCCTTGCAAAAATAAAGCAAAGAGTCGATCATCGGAGGTATCTAATTGAAGCAGTACTGAAGGAGCTGCATGGAAAGCCTAAGAGAGTCTCATATTCATCATAGGGTGGGCCGCTCGCTAATTTTCTTTCCTTTACCATTTCAAGGTCATATAAACCCCATGCTTCAACTTGCAAACATCCTGTATTCCAGAGGGTTCTCCATCATCATAATCCACATTCACTTCAACTCTCCAAATCCTCAGAACTACCCCCACTTCACCTTCTATTCGATTCCCGATGGCTTGGAACATGATGTTTCTACTGCAGATATCATATATTTTGTGAAACTCCTCAATATCGAATGTGTTGAACCCTTTAGAGATGGTTTGTCTAGGTTGTTGTTGGATTTTAAGGAGGAGCCAATTTCTTGCATAATTACTGATGCCGTCTGGCACTTCACTCAAGTTGTTGCTGACAGCATTAAGCTTCCAAGGATTGTGCTACGGACCAGTGACATTTCTTCATTCCATGTTTTTGCTGCTTTTCCACTTCTGCGAGAAAAGGGTTATTTCAGAGCCAAAGGTGCGAGCTTACTGTTATTTCTAGCTAATGAAATCCAATGGTATGATAAGTCGAGAAAGATGTTAAAATAATGAGTTGAATTGACATCCATAAAAATGCAATTTATGTCCAGTATTAATCATGCCATGAAACTTTTGTTATATACGTTTTCTCTGGCTTTCTAGCTCACATCCAAACGCAAAATTGTAGTTTTTGGTAAAGAATACAAGCATCCTGCGATATATATGAATTGCAGCAGGCAGGGTTATAAGTTTGTACAAATAGCTGTGATGGATTTCATGTTTAGTTCAAGCCATATAATCCCAAATCATACTTTTAGAATCACTTCCTATGTGGCATCATACCAACATGATAAATGGGCATAATTTGGATATATATATATATATATATATGTGTGTGTGAAAAAACACAATGGAATAAGACAAATTTATGAATCTAAAAGTATATTTGCTACTCATCTAACCAAACACCAAAGTTTATTTTATTTTATTTTGTAGATTCTAAACTAGAAGAATCAATTATAGAGATTCCCCCACTTAAAGTGAAAGACCTTCCAGACGTTAAAACACAAGACCCAGAAGATCTTCATCGTTATGTAGCCAAATTGATGGATGAAAGCAAGGCCTCATCAGGACTCATTTGGAACTCGTTTGAAGAGCTCGAGCAAGATTCACTTACTAGATTATGCCAACACTTTCCTATTCCCATTTTCACATTAGGTCCATTTCACAAGTACTTGCCAGCCTCTTCAAGCAGTTTATTAACACAAGACCAAAGCTGCATTTCCTGGCTAGATGCCCAGGCTCCAAATTCTGTACTCTATGTGAGCTTTGGGAGTCTTGCAGCCATAACTAAGAATGAATTTCTGGAGATAGCTTGGGGACTAGCCAGTAGCAATCAACCTTTCTTGTGGGTTGTTCGACCAGGCTTAGTCCAGAGCTCAGGATGCCTTGAACCATTGCCGAATGGATTCCTTGAGATGGTAGGTGAAAGGGGTTATATCGTGAAATGGGCTCCTCAACAAGAGGTTCTAGCACACCCAGCCACTGGAGGGTTTTGGACACACAACGGGTGGAATTCCACATTAGAAGGAATTTGTGAAGGGGTGCCCATGATTTGTCAGCCCTCCTTTGGTGACCAAAAAGTAATAGCTAGGTATGTAAGTGATGTGTGGAAAATTGGGATACACTTGGATTATACGCTTGGGAGAGGGAAGATAGAGAGGACAATCAAAAGATTAATGGCGGAGGCAGAAGGGCAAAGAATAAGGGAGACAATTATGTCTTTGCAAGAGAAGGCAAAACTTTGTGTAAGACAAGGGGGCTCTTCTTACCGCTCTCTTGCGAGCTTAGTCGATTACATTTTATCTTTCAAGACTTGAATTTTTGTTCACTTGGTTCAATTCAATCTTAACCCAAGGTAATAGCTCCCTTTTGTGGATTTAGTTCACAGGTCTGACCTTCACCTGAGGCAGTAGTTCCCTAGGAAGAGGACTCTTGTTTTCATATTATTGTAAAATTTATGCATTTTTTGCTATTTGAGCTTGAATTTGGTGTCTCTGGAAAACTCAACCAATGGCCTTATAGATTTGATGAAATAATGCAATTTCTCACGTTAAAATTTGGAAAAAGTTCATGTCGCGACACTTTGTGGACTCCAAAATTAATGAATATTCATGCATAAGGCTCCTAAATGTGGGAATTAGTTATGGATTTGCTTCAAGAAGGGAGAAGGGAAGCCTATCTTATTCGTTGTTTCAACTCCTCTATGGTATTTTGGTGCTCTCTTTATGTCTCTCTGGAAACAATAGCTTAAAGGTTGTAAACTTTACCTACACCTTTCGTTTCTTTCTTGTATTATTACTGACCCGCTTGGTTCATTATATGATGTCTGCTGGGAATGAACATTGCTAGCTGGTAAATTAAATTTCCACTGACATGTTAGCAGAAGATGTAGTACTATTTTTTTGGATTTTCTCCAAATTTGGGTATGTACTCTTCAATTTTTTTTTTTTTAATGGAAACATTGTAATATTCTTTTTAAGTTTAATTAAAATTCTCTATTCTTTTTTTTTTTTTTTAAATTTCTTGTTTCAGATCTTCTATTATAACACAAACAATTAACAATTGACACATAGTATTGTAAATTAAGAAATTTAGAAGAAATATTGATAACTGATTGATTGTCTTATAAAAGAGAGTTTGAAGCTAGAAATATCAAAAAGTAGCGGGCCTTAAACTAGAAAAAAAAAAAAATTCAAATCAAAAAAAGTTGAAGAATGCTGAATAGAGAAAATCCATTGTTATTTTGTGGGGAAAAGGTCACGAGGTGGGATTCATCTCTTGACAAATTTGGATAGAATATTGATGGTTGTTAGAGAATATATCCAATATTAAATAGTTAAATAAAAAACGATTAATATATAAAGTTGAAAAGAAACCATCCACCATAAATCCTAAGTCTTTTGGATGAAACTCAATCTCAATTATCAAAATCTATATGGCATTAGAGCCTCAAAGAGGCTAAGAGCCTAAGCAAAATTTTTAGAGTCTAAGCCACTTGATAGATCCCAAAAGATGGAACCAAAAATATAAATTTAAGAGAGAGCTATCCACTATAAGGCTTAAGTTTTTGGGGTGGAACCTAATTTCAATTACCAAAATTTATAATGGCTAATTTGAAAAAAAAAAAGACACAAACTAAAACTCCTAAAGTTATTTTATATGTATAACAAAACCATATGAAAATGCAAATCCCCCTCTCAATCACAATATCTAGCCACTTAACTCTTGGAGAATAAATGGAATGAATGAATGAAAAGAGAAACTAGATGGAGAGTCAACTCGCCTCAATAGGTAAGACTTAGGATAGTTTTCTCAACTTTGCACCATCTCATTTTCTTAAGAAAATTAAAACACTCAAACATATTGTGATCCGACCTATCGAACTTCTAAATTAGGCAAAACTTGAAGGAATTTTATCGAATCATCCCTCAAACTTGAATATCTAAAAACCAATGTAACTATATTTTGTAGTTTGGAAATCCAATCAGAAACCTTTCTAACTATCCCTAAAGAATGAGAGTTTGAAGTTGAGTAGGAGGAGAAGATATAGATTGCACTTCAAGAATCTCTTATTGACCATAATTGAGCCATTCTCTCTAATACAATACACATGATCCCTTCCATATTCTTTTCTCAAATCTATAATGAAAAATTTCCTTAATTGCTTTAACTTTTTAACTCATTAATAAATCTCACAATTTGATGATCATTTGATCTAATTCCATATAGTGTTTGTAAAAGCTCTAAATGCCTAATGTTGTCATGTATCTTGAACGCCTGACTATACCAAAGAAATCACAATTTGGAGAATCTATTAATCTTGATTAGCAACCCTTCCACTAAAGAATCTCTCACATCTAAGAACTAAAACTTCTCTAGCTTTCCAATTGATTTTGGAAGTTTTATCACTTTGGTTTTCTTAAGTTGAAATACTTTAGATGCAACAAATTTCCTAATTATTTAGGAATGTAATTTATTAGATAACTTTCAAAATCTAAAGTGGTCAACAACTTGCATGTTTCAAAATATCAAATCAATCATGGGCCTTTACATCTCTATTGAAGACCATAAGAAAACACGTTTAAGACTCGGACCTACTCTTTGGATTGTCACCTTCATTACCGAGTTATAGAAAGGTGTCAAGCTATTCGTTGAAGGGTCGAGCAATCAATTGAAATATGAAAAAAAAATCAATTTCTTTGATTTGGAAATAATGACCTCATGTACTAAATCATAAACACAAAATTTCTTGGGAATTCCTTTATAATTAACATCATATACTTGAACCAAAATTCGATGAATAAGTTTAGTTAAGTATTCTTCGACCAACTTTTTTGATCTTCTATCTCTCTTTTCTTGTACAAAACCATGAGCCATCCATAAAAAAATTAACCTTGCAAGTCAAATGGAGAAATCCTTCAAAAACATGCCAAAGTATAAACAAGATTTGAGGTGGTAAGGTAGATTACCATAACTAAAAGATAGAATTTTTATGATGTTCGAAAGATGTGGATCACTTGTTAATGTAGAACCAAGGCTTGAAGGATCATGCATCCTATAGAGGTGGAGAATAAAGAAAACTTTTCCTCCATCTAAGGGCCCAAGATCATGCCGTTGAATCTATCAATCATACATACATGAATAATCGGCTAAAAAGTAAAGGATTACCTTTTGTAGCGCAAATCTAAATTTCTTTTCTTTGATTAGCCCTCTACGTGTATGGCTTCTATTGATGATCCACACGACTCAAATATCCATAAAAAAACACTCAAAATTGATGGGGTGCTAGCTCCACCTTTTTTTGATTAAGTATTTCCTCTAGAAATCAATCCGGATAACTTTGCGACAACCTTAAAGGAGAAGATAAAAGTATTTCTTGCTAGGGTTTTTAGAGAAAACTATTTTTTACTTTTTTTCTCTCTAGGCCGTGTGCCACTAGATGATTCTAGGGGTAGCCAAAATTTTCCTTTTTTCTCTCTTTTATTGGCCGAATTTTATCTTATGATTTTACTTGGCAAAAAATACTCTTTTTAGGTCATCCCACTATTTATGCTTGCATATCTCCTCCTATTTATAGGGGAGAGTTTCCTTGTCCTTTATGAACAAGGAGAAAGGCGGCAATGAGTCCATAAAGGACTCTAGGTTATTGCTTCTTTATCGTCCAAGGATGAACAGTTATTTTATATGTGGACTACTTGATTATTATCCTTAAAACATTGAACTTTATCTAATAAGGTTAGTGTTTATCTTTAAAACATTCATCCTTATCCAATAAGGTTGATATTTATCCTCCTACTAAAATTATCTTAAGGCTTTTAATTAAACCTAATGGGCCAAAACTATTTTAGTCCAATAAATTTATTTGGACTATCCAAATAAATATTCTTAGATTATTTTAGTGGGGTCCACATTAGGAAATAATTTCTCAAAATACCCTTTAACCTAAATTAGGAAACTCCTTTCCTTTTAGGTTCTTTATTTTCAAATTTGAAACTGACTTCCAAATTAGAAAATTGAAACTCCTACCTAAGAACGATCCATACAAGCTTGGGTCCAAAACATGACAAGCCGACGGAACTCCTTTTGGCTCTCTAAAAATCTCAAGTATGTCTCCTCGACTTGTTTCAAAAATAGAGAAAGGTTACTTCCTCCGTAAAACCCCTTACTCAAGAATCTCGGGATTCTTCAAAAATTCTTTCTCAAAATCTGTCACAAAGCACTCGGGTTGTTTCTTCCTAATACAAATTTAAGTTTTTTCCATTACATATTCATACACGTATTTATCTAGATCCATAGGTCTTAATGGTATCGAGCCTAATTGATTGGTGGGGTTGTATGTTTATAGTTTATAGATTTCATGTTTAGAATCTGCTAAAGAGCTCGTGGTATAGACAATTGAATCGGTGTGGCTATAGTAAGTCCCGAGGGTTAGGCGATAAATCGGACGAATCACATTCATAACTCGCGTATCCAATGCTACAAACCATAATCTAGTTATGGATTCCCTATTCTGTAGATCTACCTCCTTCTTAAACTCCTCGACTTACGAGACTTCGAATCTAGGAAGATAACAAATAATGTAGAGTATGTTATTGAAGATTTTGACAAACAGATTGATGATTGGACAATACCCAAAGTCCATAAGGAAGAGATTTACAAAACCTCAAAGTATAACTTGTTTAAGACAGATTTTACTATCAAAGCGAGGAGAGGGATATTCAGCTCTTGAAAACCTATGAAACCATTATGAATATCTTTCCTTTTTTCAAGGAAGTTTTTGAAGAACCAAATTCTTTTTTCGAATTGTGTTTTGTGAATACTCATAAGATTCATATCTTGTTCTTTGATTGGTTTGAGTTATATGCTTGTGATAATAATATAGCTTATCCTTTCACCAAAACATTGAACCACGTTACTAATTGGAATAAAACCCTTTGTATGGGAAGTGAAAGGGATGACTATACGGTTTGAACACCCTCCTCCTAGGAAGCTCACCTTCTCCCACGGAGAAGCAAAAATAGAAGCATGTCCGTATAAAATTCTCAAAGATGATGACTTTGTCAACATCTAAAACATTGTTCAATGGAATAATTTTACCAATACCAATCTTCAAATCATAGGAAAGCAATTTGTTAGGATAGAAAACCATATCCGGAAGTAAGTTGTTTCCACTTATTGTTTCAATAGAAACCCCAATCGAGGATAAGAAGCTAAAAATCCTAGTCTTCAAACCTTTCCGGGTTTCTAGGAATAGTCAATAACAAATCCAAGCCAATAAGCTAGAGTTTCTAAAGGCTATTAGAGACCGAACTTAGCA